GAATTACCAAAAGGTTCTGGTACGTCCTTATTGCGTTCTTCCTCTTTCTGTTATATTTTCTTTGGTGAGTTAAGAGAAACGAAATTTATATAGATACAAATCAAAACGTAGAACTTTGGTTTGAGAAGACACAAAAACTAATAAAAAGAACATGGGTTTGAGAAGAACATTGTTGGTTTTATATATTCTCTTGATCTTTCATATTCGACATTTTCCTACTGTCAGCTCACGACCTTCCTCAGTCGATACCAACCACGAGACTCTTCCTTTCAATGACTCGAAGCCAGACGTTGTTGGATTTGAAGGAAAGACTCCGGAATTAGCTTTCGTTATTAAAAAAGGAGCCCGTGGTGGTCGCAGCAAGGGAGGAGCGAAAAGAGGCGGTCGAAGACGGTGGGGAGATTTGATTCCGCGTCATGGTGGTGGTGCTCGTGGAAGATCGCATCGTTCAAGCGCCAGTCGGAATCTTCAAGGGGAAATGAGTGTGGTCGGTTGGTTAGGTTTTTCGGTTTTAGCCGGTTTATTCTTGGCTTAGTTTTTGTTGGCCGTTTAAGTTTGGGATGTTTAAGGTTTATGGTTGAGGTCCGGTTTGGTTTGTAAAGTATCGACTAGATTGAAGTAGAATGGATTTCAACAATATTTGTATAAAATTTGTAAAAACATAAATATATACTTACTGGACATATTCGTTAACCGGAACTGCCATTTTAGCGTCAAACATCAATGATTTTCAGTTGTTTCGGTTATAAAGTGACTAAACTTCTCTGTTTACATAGAAAAGTGATTCTGGTAGAAGTTAAAATGTGGATTTTTTTTTTTAATATGAATTTAAAATGTGGAATTATTCGTGCAGAATTTTGGCTTTGTCATCCTACGCTCACTCTTTTGGCATTGGCGAGAGGCGCAATAACTCTCGACGTTTAAGTTAGATTTTGTTTTTGAAAAAGAAAAGAAAAAACGTAAGGCAAGTAGCACCCACATGTAATGATATGAGTTTTAGACCCCAAAAAAAAAATGATATGAGTTCAGGATATTTTTCCTTCTCTTTTAGTTTGAGATTATAAGTTATAGGGTCAATTTGCTCAATAAGTTATATCTCTTTTTTTTTTTTTTGTGCTAAACAATTATATATCTTTCTCTTGTAGTTGGGTAGGATTATCTTCATTTTTGACTTATAATCTCGGTGTTAGGAATGTGGGACTTCGAAAGACTACTTACGAATCCGAAAATTGCTTGTCTTAGCAAATGATTACGTTGAACCCACCATTCAGCAGCCCTTATGTACCAAAATGATCAAGTCAATCTGTTAATGCTAGCATTTTTTTTTTGTTATTAGGCAAATTAATGCGCAAAACTTTATTTTCTCAGTTTTTTTTCTATCTAAATATCTATTTTTTTCCGGTCCACAAACAAAATATTATACCCACAAATTTACAAAATACCAGAACACTTTAATTTATCATTCACTTTATGTAACGTCACTTATATTATTATTTGATATGGTTTAGTCCTTTACAAAACCTATAATGGTTTAGTCCTTTAGACGAAAACGGTTGTTGTCAAAACAAAAAAAAGCGGTT